TTAGTGCTATATTCTTTATGTCAGTGTTTGGTTCTGCCGGTCTAATTGTTCGTTATAGGCTGTTTTTGGCTACACTTGTGTAGTACTGGACAATATTATTCTGCACCTATTGGGTTTTAAGTACAATTTCTAAACTTGTGTAGAGGTATTGCTAATACGTTCAACCAATCAAATTTTAGCCAGTGGATTATGTGTACAAATGCAGGCAGCTCGGTAACGAAGATCAAACTTATGTTACCTTTTGATACACTTGTTATATGAGGGCTAGTATAGCTCTCGAGTTGTCTATACTGGATTAAATGTAGTGTGATTCGTACTTGTATCCCATTGTTTAAAGGTCAAGTGCCCAAGCCACTACACCTGTTTATGGAGTAGAATCTTGTCTCGACTATTTAGTCTTGGTCAGGTGAACAATATTGGTATCACTTATTAGGTATTTAAACCTCGTAGTCCAATATATAAACATGTAGTTAGTCCATTAAATAAAATAACATGTACGAACTATTAGCTAAATTATCAGTAAGTTAAATTTGCGCATATTTTGGTTTTGAATAATGATGTGACAGACAAGAATTAGGCTTCATATTTTGATCATAATGTTATTGATTAGTAAGAGACAGATCAAACTTGTATTCTTTAATTGGTTGACTGTTAAATGACACCAATTCTTGTTTGTTTTTCACATAGTTTGTTAGTTTGCTGGTTACTCGACCGTAGATACTACCTTGGCGTGGTGGTCGGCCTTGCCTATCGTGATGACCCAACCGAGCTATATTAGATGGAACATATGTTCCTGTAGGTTCTACGATGCCAGGCAGGTCGGTTGGAGAACGGTAAGACTAAAAGCAACAAACCCAAGGTTCGAGGGCTAAGTCGTACTGCTGACTGTACAGAGGTGTGACACCAGTAAGGTGTTTCCTTCAGACAACCAGCATGACAGCGATGCTCCTTCCCACAAGGAGGGGTGGAATTAGAAAAGGTCAACCCTAAAAATGTCACACCTAACCTTACCTTACGAATTTCTGTCCGGTGGTAAGGCCTTTCGAAGGACAGAGCTAACACGTTAAAAACTTCCCATAAAAAGGCCGTGGGAGACCGGTCTCGAGCGGTTATCCCTTGGGCTCGCACTTGCTAATAAATTTAAAACTGGACTTAGGTTTGATTCTTGCACGCCATAACGGCAGTTTGGTAATTTATAATCTGCTCTTTATCAACAGTTAGTAAAATCCGTATGCAGCACTCACATTCACCGGAAATAACGTTCAGTTTAGCTTTACACTAATACTTCTTGAAGTCTGCTCAATCCTATTCTTGTACTAAATAAGTAGTTGATACAAACCTTTAGGTAGGATTATTATAAAATAATAGGTCGTCTTTTCTGACTGTAGTGCAGCATAACCAAAATAAAGACATAAGTTTTTTAAGTTTGACTATTCCATTTGTACATCGAATTTGTATCAACATTAAATCAGTTAGGTAAATAGCATTCTAGTATATCGCTGAGTAGTCTTTAGTGCTATATTCTTTATGTCAGTGTTTGGTTCTGCCGGTCTAATTGTTCGTTATAGGCTGTTTTTGGCTACACTTGTGTAGTACTGGACAATATTATTCTGCACCTATTGGGTTTTAAGTACAATTTCTAAACTTGTGTAGAGGTATTGCTAATACGTTCAACCAATCAAATTTTAGCCAGTGGATTATGTGTACAAATGCAGGCAGCTCGGTAACGAAGATCAAACTTATGTTACCTTTTGATACACTTGTTATATGAGGGCTAGTATAGCTCTCGAGTTGTCTATACTGGATTAAATGTAGTGTGATTCGTACTTGTATCCCATTGTTTAAAGGTCAAGTGCCCAAGCCACTACACCTGTTTATGGAGTAGAATCTTGTCTCGACTATTTAGTCTTGGTCAGGTGAACAATATTGGTATCACTTATTAGGTATTTAAACCTCGTAGTCCAATATATAAACATGTAGTTAGTCCATTAAATAAAATAACATGTACGAACTATTAGCTAAATTATCAGTAAGTTAAATTTGCGCATATTTTGGTTTTGAATAATGATGTGACAGACAAGAATTAGGCTTCATATTTTGATCATAATGTTATTGATTAGTAAGAGACAGATCAAACTTGTATTCTTTAATTGGTTGACTGTTAAATGACACCAATTCTTGTTTGTTTTTCACATAGTTTGTTAGTTTGCTGGTTACTCGACCATAGATACTACCTTGGCGTGGTGGTCGGCCTTGCCTATCGTGATGACCCAACCGAGCTATATTAGATGGAACATATGTTCCTGTAGGTTCTACGATGCCAGGCAGGTCGGTTGGAGAACGGTAAGACTAAAAGCAACAAACCCAAGGTTCGAGGGCTAAGTCGTACTGCTGACTGTACAGAGGTGTGACACCAGTAAGGTGTTTCCTTCAGACAACCAGCATGACAGCGATGCTCCTTCCCACAAGGAGGGGTGGAATTAGAAAAGGTCAACCCTAAAAATGTCACACCTAACCTTACCTTACGAATTTCTGTCCGGTGGTAAGGCCTTTCGAAGGACAGAGCTAACACGTTAAAAACTTCCCATAAAAAGGCCGTGGGAGACCGGTCTCGAGCGGTTATCCCTTGGGCTCTGCAGTCACGCTCCCAGATTGTTAAGACCAACGCTAATCCAACTTCCCTTTCATGTTCTTCAAGAAATACCCTTCCGTGGTGTGGGAAGCCGTGAAGTGGCATCAACCCTCGTACCCGTAACAGCACACGAGACCAAGTTGGTCACAATCAAATCCTTCCTACACCTCCTAATATCTCTCTTATCTCCACGCCTGATCCCCCCTCACGTTTCTTTATCACCTCGCGCCGCTAGTGCAAACGGTTCGAGCACGTGTAACGTTATTCCTGGTATCCTGAAACCACGCTCTAAACTACATGTAGGAGCTTTCAACGTCCGAACACTGAGCAAATTAGGACAACAGACTTCCTTAGCTAGGACTTTAGAATCTCGCGCCATGGATGTGTGCTGCGTCTCCGAAACGCGCATAGACGATTCGAGTAGCGTCATCCATTTGACCTTACCATATCAAAATAAAGAGCAATCTCGATTCACGCTTCGTGTATCTGGAAGCCCCGATTCTACTTCTCGTGACCTCACTGGCGTAGGTATAGCATTGAGTCCTAGGGCAGAACTAGCTCTCTTAGACTGGATCCCAGTAGATAGTCGTTTGTGCTCTGTCCGACTAAACGGAACGTTAAGGACTGGGAAAGATTTGGACACTCGTCGTTGCCTCTTCGTCGTCTCTGCCTACTCTCCCACTGACTGCAGCTCGGATAAGGTAAAAGATGAGTTTGTCACTGAAAGGAGTATCAAAGAAGTACATTAACCTTATACAGGCTCTCTACTCGAACACAACTGGCCGAGTGTTAGCTTATGGCGAACTGTCATCAGAATCGATTACATCAAGTGGTGTTCGTTAGGGCCGTCCACTCTCTCCATTCTTGTTTAATTTTGTCCTTGACGTGCTTTTAGAGATGACACTTTCCTCATCTAAATTTCCAGGGGTTGAACTTCTACCGGGAGATTCATTTGTTGACTTAGAATATGCCGATGACATAGTTCTATTTGGTGAAGACGCTGACAAAATGCAGAGTCTGCTGACCACTCTAAGCAACAATGCAAGGATGTTCAGAATGCGATTCTCCCCCTTGAAATGCAAAATGTTGCCTCAGGATTGGGTTGCATCGGCACCTGAACTAGTGATAGGGAGTGAAGAAGTTGATCATGTCGACCGCTGCACTTATCTTGAGAGTATCATCGACCCTTGTAGTCTGGTGTGTGACGAAATCTCAGCACTGATACAGAAGGCTCGACTAGCTATTGCCAACATGCGTCATTTATGGCGTAGGCGAGATATCCGTCTACCAACCAAAGGATGGGTTTACCGCGCAGCAGTTCGTTCCGTCCTACTTTATGGCTGTGAAACATGGCCGGTAGGAGTAGAGGATATCCGCTTGTTGACAGTATCCGATCGTAGGTGTCTTTGAAGCATTACTCGTACATCCTGGGACCACCGAGTAAGTACTTCAGTTGTTAGGAAACGAGTACTAGGTAAGGATGGAAAATCAACTGATAAAGTAGCGGAACTTCATCAGTTGAGATAGCTGGAACATGTGTTACGTATGCCTAACCACCGACTGCCTCGACGTGCGATGTTCAACGGTGTAGGAGTAGGTTGGAAGAAAGCTAGGGGCGGCCAGACCAAAACATGGCGCAAATCCAAGAAGTCACTGACAAGTGGACTGGGCCATGTTGGTAGGTGTAGACTACCTGGTTGGGATCCGCGAGACGATAGCAACCGATGGTTAGAGACCTTGAATGACATGGCTCAAAATCGTTTGCAATGGTGCGGGTGCATCCACTCTTTGTGTTCTTTCAAATTCTAATCTTCTGAATTCTTCATGTCCCTTTTTTCTCTTTCCAAATTTATTTCACTGGATTATACTCCTTGAATAAAATCTTTGAACCCGAATGTTTCCGACCACTGCTTACACTTTTATTACCTCTACCACTATGGTATTTGTATCTACTATTGTATCGCTGTGCTAATATGGTATAACTTGGACAGAAGTACCTAAGTACGAAGTTCTACGTAGTTGCTGACTGAGTTTACTAGTTATATTATATTTTGATATCGGTTCATTCATGGGTTACATTAATTATTCGATATAGGAAGCAGGTTTCATTGGGCTACATTGTGTCATTCTTCATCGTCTGTTGATTACTGTTGCACTTACCACAATGCGTGCTCATCACAAATCTTGAAAACTCATTTACTGTAACAATAAAGTAAACTGTCTGCCATCTTTCAGCTTTGACCAAATAAGGATCTGAAGTGGTATCGATTATCAGTTCCAAAAAGTGTTTCTATAGGCAGAAAATTACTGTAATGCATTTTATGTAAATTTGATACATGCAATACTTTCGGATGTTCTTTTGTTTTAGGAATATAAAAAGATCTTATATTTTTTTCCTAACGAAAAATCACTGGATGATAAGCTGAATTCTATTGGATTATCTGAAGCTATTTCAACTTTTACAAAGTAAAGTTACATAAATAAATATGTCCATACATTATCATGTTTATCGTCTAAACATACGTTTTATAGTTCTTTCAATTCGCCATGTACATCAATACGTACGAAAAATACGAAAAGACTTTTCAAAAGTTTAACGCCCAGTATACAAATTGTAATTGTAAGACGTACAATAAGTTTTATAAATATCACCAAAAATCTGCACTTTTCTAGGTTATCTCAGTACCTTCTATTGTGAGTTCAACAAATGATAATCTAGTTGAGAATGATTATTTACACAATGAAATTATTGATTCAGTCTTGTCTATTGCCTGTGAAACTTTTGAAGTGAGCAAAATTAATATCTTTTTCCTATGAAAAATGTCTCTTTTATCCATATTTTTTAATTATCTGTTAGAACTTATGATTCCTCACTTCCTTTTATGTTTTATTTTTTTCAAAGCTGTTCCATGGAAAATTTACTGAGATCGTTAAAACTTATGATTATGAAATATTAAAGGCTAAATTAGAGCACTTCTTTTCTCGAGTAAGTGTTTGGTTTATGAAACATTCTAATATGCCGAAAAATTGCAAATTATTGTTCACTTTTTGTAGTATTTACGTACTATGCTTTTCGAATACTGTGATATATTGGATTGTTTCAACGGAATTCAATTTATATCGATTGAACCAACTGATTTTGGTCGTGTTCATGGCCTTGTTAACAGAATTGGATATAGTTTTAATTGTACTGAACATTCAGCGTTTTTCTTTGAAGGTAGACTTATATAGTGAGTTGTTTGAATTACTAGTCGAAAATTCCTTTTAATCACACATTGTTTCCAAAATTCATAACCTTTGATTTGTACCATTACAGTAGTCGAAATTGTTGTAACCTTAAGTTCATGGTCTGATGCAAATCAGTACTCCTGTTGTGCATCGACTAACCAAGAAACATGGCTAATAATAGTATACCAGTTTTATTTCATCTATCCTTTACTTTCGCAGATGGTCATGCAAATACATACATTAGTTAGTATTCTGTTTCAATAGCTTAAATATTTGATGTTTCTATTGTAAATTAGTAAACTTATATAGAGGAATCTTTATATGTTTTCAACTTTCAAGTAGTTGAGTTCAGTGTGCAAAACAGACACTCCATTTTTTTTCCTAATTTTGATGGTATGCTTTCGATCCGACGTTCCCTTGAAATTTCTGTTACAGAAACATGGAGCCTCAATGTAATTTTCATAGACATATTGTATCCTTTTTACAGAAAAAAACATTACTGGCTTTAGCTCGAAATTTATAGAATCCAACTTTTGTTCAGAAGGTGTTTACATGGTTTTCTATCTGCTGACTTGTGCTCTTGTTAGTCATCACGTGACTTATTTGTCAGTCAGAACATGACTTGTACAATCTTAGCACTGTACCAAGCCAATGACGCGTTGACCGGTACGAGCAATCTAGAGTCCTTATTGATCCTCGCGTAGCCCTGTCAGTTGAGTCCAGAATGCTAATATATCAGCCTGCACTGTATGAACAATATTTCCCAGACATACTTGGTTTATATACAAGCAAACCAGACTACATCATAAAACAAAAAATAAAAATTATACAGGATCAAGCCAAAAAGTGACTGTCACTAATAAGTTGGGAATAACGTAAGGATAGTAAACCGTATAATAGTAGTCAATAGGTCAAATGGAAGCTTATGATAAAAAGAATATAAATATATATAATCTAGTTACTTAACAGTTATACGATCTTAACCGTTGAAATTACTACAATCTCCACAAAACTCCTTCTGATATTAATTCATAAATAGTTCCCGAAAGTTACCCATAATTTAACCTTCGTTGGTCTGACAAAAAAGTTCATTTATTTAGATCCAATAACCAAGGATATTTTTTAAAAACCATTTTCTATTAACTATCTGTTTACTTACTTACGCCTGTTACCCTTCGCGAAGGAGCATAGGCATCCCAACCATCTGACTGCTTGTGGTTAACTCAAATATATGAACATTGTCAAGGCAACTTATAGCAAGTTTGCTTGATCTAAGTAGAATAAGTTCAACAAAAGCTAATTCGTTCATCAAGTACAGGTATATGTACTCGGTTTCGCGACACTGATATAACCCGACTGCCCAACCTGAAATAGGTAAAACAGGTTCTCGATTTGAGGCTTACTGATTAGAAGCCACTATGCTACATCTTCACAGAGAATTCGAAAGCTTAGCGAAAATCTCGATTTTTAAATAATGATACTTATAAATTATTTATATTTATGTTTGATCACATAGTATCAGCGTTGATGTTGACATTTTGTTTCAGTTTAACTAATGCCTTGTCTTGTTTAATCACCTTAATAAGTGGGTTCTATTTTCTCCTAATGAACTATTTCATGTAAATTCTTTTTTTTTTCCTATCTCTCTAATTGTTTTGTTTTAGTTCTACTTTGGATCTAACCTATGTTCGTCATATTTATCACTATTTGAATTCGTTTCTATTTATTGAACAACCAGATTTAACACATGCGACTACTATGAAAACAAAATCTAAACATTTAGGAAGGTAACGATATTCTTAGTTGTATAAATGGTGTATTGAATATTTTGACGTTTGATGATACATAAATGCTGTATTTAGAAGCCTGGTTTGTAATCAATTCACTGTTTAAGAGTAAAACTCTAAGTAGTTAACTAGATCTTGTAGATAATGCCAAAAGAATAATCCAAAGCTAGATTGCCTGAATATACTACATTCTGCAGAATAGGGGATGTAATCAATCGGTATCTCTCTCTGCTAATTTGTGATTAGAGATCATGGCAAACGCAACAGGGGATAATTTTGGACTTACAACCGATGTATCGACTGACGGACTGTCTCCTCAAAAGAGCGTGATTAGTTATGTTGACTTGGGATTTAATTAGTTGTGGAAACCTATCCTCCAAATGGAGGCACATAGGCAAGTATTTATCATGGATTGAGTATCATTCGAGTTGATTTCCATATGGTTTACAACTATGTAATGAACAATATCTCACTTAGGTTCAGTGATCTCTCAATATCACTAGTCGGATAACTCAGTCAATTAACCAATTGGGAAACCTAGTACATTAATACATCACTATTTTTATCGCCTCTGATTTCGGACTGTTTTATTAAATCACTTTAAACATTGATTTTTACTAACATATTTTCTTGGAGAACTAATTTTAAGGATTAAAAACGTATGTGAGACGTCGGTATTTTTGAAAAGCTGGTTACAGAAACCTTAAAACATCTTTTAAGGATTGTATGATTTTTATTATTCCTTTTTACTTCAGTAACTTTAATAATGGTGTGAAATGGAACCGAGTAAATCACTGAATTGTAAAGTTTGCTGTTGATAAATATCTTCCAAATACCCTATTAACATTATGATCAAGGGAATGTGAAATTTTGTATCCTTATTACCGACTACTTCACTATTAGTGTGGCAAACTGTTATGTTCTTATGACCCGTCAATTATCATGTGACAAGATCGCCAATCGGAACACAGACTTATATGACCGTGGCCCTGTGCCAACCCACTGACGCGTTAACCAGCACGAGCAGCCTAGACTCAACTCTGAGTCCTTATTGTTTCTTCCTACCTAACCGTGCCCTCTGATTTCAGAACACAATCGTAGCTCCCACTGTATGAATCATGTATTTCAGACATACGTAGTTTATTTACAAGCAAACCAGACCTCATCATACCGTAAAATAGAAAATAACAATTTTACCGGATCAGGCCAAAAGTGGCTGTGAGTATGAGAGACTGTAAGTATTAAATTGGGAATAACTTAAGAATGCTAAATTGTTTAACAGTAGTCAATAAGTCAAATGAAAGCTTATGATAAAAGGAATATAAATATATATAATCTAGTTACTTAATAATTACCTAATTAGAATATATGTAGTAGTAATCCATAAGTAATTCCTAAAATTTACCATTCATTTATTCTTCGTTCGGATATAACACAAGCCATATTCAGTAATAATCAAGAACTACAATGTATGATAGCGGTTACTATCCAACAAATGACCAGTCTATTCAGTCCAACTATTTAGAAAAGTAGTCATCACGAATAGCTCAATATTAGTGTACCTGACGATCACGCTGTGTGATATTGGTTCCATTATGTATCTGAGAATCATTTCCCTTTTGGATGCAGATGATATGCTCTAATAAGCACAAAACTGGATTCAAGGCTTTTTGTTAGTTTTTCTCCATTTGTTTGACGTCAACAAGTTACATCATGTAATAACTTTCCAGTCAATAATCTTTCACGCTCCTAATGGTTTATTATTCAGATATCTTGTTGGTCCAAAGGACTTATCTGATTTGTCCCAGCAAATTAAATGTCCATTAATTTGTGCCCCAGGTTCCCACTTACCCAATTGTCAATTAATTACCTATCAGGCTTTAAGAGCTGTTCTTTGTTTACTTATTAAAGGTAAGTAAATTGGCTTTCATGTCCTTTAATCAATGCTTATTTTTGCGATTTCCTTCAAGAATTCATACTGCAAAAATTAGTAAATAGGGTTTCAAGTGTTTCCCCAAAAGAAATAGAAATATATAACTTTTCGTTAATGTCTATGTTCAACTGTCATTTGTATTCATACATTAAATGTGACTCATAGTTTAGCCAAACTCTTTGTGTTTACTAGACAAGCTACTGTTTAGTTCTTAGAGAGAATTAACTAGAGTAGTTCAAATTAATCTCATTGTGGTTAAGTGATTATTTATTCTAATCAGTAAATCATTAATGCATCACTAGGAACAAATCTCATTGGTTACATGTTATGTTAATAGCTGACCAATGGGACAGAAGTATCATTTTTTAGACATGCAACAATTAACATGTACCCGGATTATTAAACTGTAGATTAAATTTTTTAATCTTTATTTATTTAATATTGTTGTTCAGATACTTAACTTCTACAAAAATCATCCCATCTCATTATATTTCGCACAGTAAGTGTAAGCCTACTGGGTCTGGTTTACAATTTTGAGTTCACCAATAATAATAATAATAAGTATTTTTACATAGGTTTTCGCAAAAGCAGTTTTCCCAGTTATCTGTTTCGATCCTTCATGTGTCGCGGGGGATTAATTTATTCATCTGTTTATATCAAATCTGACTTTTTAGGTATCGTGAAGCGTATGCATAAGTTGTTTACAATTATATGTGATTGAAGTACTATAATTTAGTCAAGTTTTGTGGGCAATTGTTTTTATTTTCATAGTTCTGTCAGAACTTTTAAGGTGAATCAATAAACGACTAAGAAATTCAGTCATACTTGCAGTTTGTAAAATTAATTTTATCAGTATTCGTACTTGAAATCCTGCTTCCCACTACTGAACCATATAAGCTGTAAAATATTCGTTCTATTCAACCTTATTATTGTTTCACTATTATATATTTCTTTTATACTCTATTATTATACAGAAATTTAGTTAAAATCGTAGTTATTAAAATTCTTTGCTTACAAAATCACACAGCCGTACATAACATTGACTGTATAAATATTAAGGATATTAGTACTCAAACACATTATTATATGACTTCATAAAATAATGAGTTATAACATGTCCCTATCAATCAACATGGATTGCTTCATTTTGAATTACAGAAAAATTAAATAATTACACCCTTATTCTCCACAACTAGACTTTTTCGTCATGATCTCTTTTGAAATAAAAAAACTCTGGAGAAGCTTTGTATATGTATGTTATAACGGTTTTACTTCGTCTAATGTTATAACGGTTGGGTTTCCACGTTTCCACGTATGGGACGTTAATTTACCTTAAACGAATATCTACACTAGATTCCCTCCCAGTGTCTATTCTACAGAACATCAACACAACTCAGATCAAGAACACGTGATTAGCCTGACCACAACGTAAATATATTTCCACACCAAAAACCCGACGCAATCCAACAACAATGAACAATCAATAATAAGTGAGTTTTAATAATAATAAGGGTAGGGGAATATATAAATCATCTGACACCTGTCAGACTATCTACATATCTGACCAAGCAGACAACCAGTCATTATCATTCTCGCCCACACATCACTATATTTGTTATCTTTTGATCTCAAAAAATGGTTTACTTTAACAGTAACTAAAATGAATATCAGCGATCCTAGAAACTAGTGGTTAAAATGGCTTGTAATCATGTTCATATTAGTGACCAGATTGTACACCCAGCTTGATTATTAATTAGGATGAAATCACATATATGAAAAATACCCAGAGTTATAATGAATCACATGCTGCGTGTCATGCTGTGCATAGTTTATATTAATTTAATACAATAATATAATATCTTGAGTAAACATGATACTCAAATAAATTAATGTTATACCGAACAGAATATCACACTGTCAAATAAAACCAATATTTCTCCGAATAATTAACGCATTGAATTCAAAAGGAAAGTAATGTTGACCAAAAATCACAATGAGCAAAAAGATTGAATTTTGCTTTCTAATCCCACCATATCACCTCCCCTTCTTTTTTTAATGGAATACGTAAGAGTAAGTTTTCCGTAGAGATAGTTCGAATGATTGTTCTTTTTCGTACTCACTGGGATCTCTGCCGATCGTGTAGTCGTATTCCAGCTTTCAGTCGGTTTTTTTTAGCTTCGTTTGAAACAATCTATTTGACCTTCTCACTTCTATGCTCGACTCCTTCGTCCAATATATATATGACTCTCCCTCTTCCACGAAAGAAGATTGGATCTTCATGTACCGACGTTACAAATAATGTGACTTTATTGATCTGAACTGTCTCAACACTACTCACATCTTCATTATATGAGAGTGTTGGAGCGTGTGGGTGTATATAAAGGTTGAAGGATCCTTTTGTACGATCTTGACCTATATGGGTAATATTATACATGGTGATTTTTCCACCGTTCATACAAAAAAGTAAAATGCCATTGTTCCATTCACAATACGAACGAGCACATTTTAAATTTCGACTTGACAGTAACAATTCATATGATTCATGTAGTCTAGCTTTGTCTCCAAAGCAGTTAAACGAAACATTTGTATTTGTTTCATACCCATTAGAATCAGTAGATGGCTTCATTTTACATGCAGATATTGCAGTTGAACTGACTTTGAATTATTGAAACAAGGTTTACCTTTTTGTATGTGACGTTCGGTTTGTCCAAATAAACAGGATAAATATCATCTGTAGATAACTATAAGGAATACTGAAATTTGATGACTACTCATCATACAATTTTCCAAAAACACTGTTTTGTGCAAATTGGCACGCATTTTGTTTTCAATTGAGCTCAGCTTCCTGAAGTAAGCATGAACTTTTGAGCTAGTGTCTGGTTCGGCCGCTTTTGTCTTAAATAAATCTTCATTCCTACCATCACAGGCATTGAACCTTACCCCAGATTTCAAACTGTCAAACTTGGGGACTAAATTTAAATTTTTACACTATGTGAACAACATCAGTCCTGTGCATTCTAATTTCGTGAATGCTTTGCAAACACATGTTATATATATCGATTTATTATAGCATTGAGTAGGGATTCTACGTGATATGCATGAAGTGTGATAGCACACAACATCAACTACATAACATCTAAAATGTGATCAGGATGTGACGCATTTAAAAAACATTTCTCACATTGACCAGGAGTAGATAGATTGTGAAGATAAATAACATTTGATATGCGACCATCAAAACTATAATTACATTTGAACCCATTGAGAACTTGTGCTTCATTTTGACCACGATTTTCACTAGAAAGGAATGTTTTATAAGAATAAGCAACATTTGTCATGATATTGTCAGGATTTAATTCATTTAAAATATTTTCTTCCGATTCCTTAAGTACTTCATTAGAAACCAATGATAGTCAGCATTCGTTATGATATCATTAGAATTCCGATCAGAAATTGATTCATTTAAAACATTTGTCACACACTGATTTTGAATTTCACTCGACATGACTGTATAATTAGAGTGAGAGGAATCTTCTGAGGCTGCTGTTACACTGTTCGTCTTCTGCATTTGTTGTTGCGTGTGCAATAGAAGAGCCGAATCATTTGCGAAGTCTAAGTCGTCCAGCTGCATCCCAACTGTTCACTGTATCCCAAGCTTCCCTCAGATGTTGACGTCTTCATGATCCAGTCGATCACCAGGAGAAAGAGAAAGGGTGAGAGTAAGAGCAACCTTGTCTTATACTGGTTTTTACCTCGGACGAGTCTGTCAACTATGCTCCATGCACGATTATGCAGTTTAATCCATCATAGGAATTCCGTATGATATTGACCATCTTCTCAGGTACGTCGTAGAGTTGGAGAAGCTTCCATTGTGTTGTCCTGTTCACGCTACCGGATGCTTTTTCATATTCAATGAAGTCGATGACGAGCGATGAATTCCACTTAATTGATTGTTCCACAATGATCCGTAGAGTTGCGATTTGGTCTGTACACGATCGATCCTTACGGAATCCAGCTTGTTGGTCTCGAAGTTGGGCGTCTACGGAGTCCTTCATTTTGTTTAACAATACCCTGTTGAAGACTTTTCCTGGTATTGAGAGAAGAGTGATTCCCCTGTAGTTATCATAGTTGCTAAGATCGCCTTTCTTTGGTATCTTGATTAGGTGTCCTTCTTTCCAGTATTGTGGTATGTATTCTTCATCCCAAATCTTTCTGAAGAGAATGTGGAGTATCTTTGCAGTTACTGCTACGTTTGCTTTTAGTGCATCGGCTGGAATGTTGTCGGGTCCTGCTGCTTGGCCGCTCTTGATTTGTCTGATAGCGATCCTAATCTCTTTAATTGTTGGTGGGCCAACATTGATTGAGAGGTCCGTGGGTGCTGCTTCGATGTTGAGTGGGTTCAGTGGGGTTGGTCGATTCAAGAATTCTTTGAAGTGTTCTTCCCGCCTGTTTCGCTGTTCTCAACGATTGAATGCAGCCTACCGTAGAATCGGTCTTTAACGCCATCATTGTAATCATAGATATTCGATGATGTTTATTGTAATGCCCTCTTTCTTTGTTTTGAAGCAGGCTTTGATGATCCTGGGTCCATGAGATTCCCATCCTATAAGTGCTTCTTGTGCTTGTTTGAATAGCATCAATGCAACTCCCTGTGTATGTGGGACCTTTTTTCTTCGTGACCGGAGTATATCAACAGCTCTTCTGAATCTAGTCTTTGTTGTCTAACCTTCGTCCAACGTGTTTCACTGATTCCAAGCACCTCCAGATTGTATCTCTTCATTTCTGCAGCAATTCGGAAGACTCTCCCGGTCTCCCACATTGTGCGAGCATTCCATATGTCTAAATCGATGGTTGCTCTGGTTGTCAGGGGGGTTATCAGCCTCGTGACTTCCGAAGGAACTCGGCTTTCACCATGATGCTTCATAACTCTTCTAAATGAAAACCTTCTAACTCCCAGGGCAAAGTTTAAATGGTTTGAGTACTTTTTTCTGGTTAGCGTTTCTTTAGCGAGTTAGTTTTCTACGGGATGGGGTCGTTAACCCCATACCCAACCCTCCTCCTTTATCCGGGATTGGGACCGGCAGTAGCCCATGAAGGACTCTAGGCGGAATTGTATCATAAGTACAATTTTAAATTACAAGGTAAGGCACATTTGCCAAAATAGACTGACCAACTGAAGCCCTGAACACTGATTCAAATAACCAATACAAATGAAAATAAAGTTTAGATTTATGAAATGCTCACGCGTCAAATTTCATTTTTTAAAAAACTGTTTATCATAGAATGAATTGAACTATTTGTTGACTATTCTTATAGTTGTTGATTAAAAATGTCGAATGTTTAAAAATATGCAAATCTGGAATCTTTTATTTCACCTGTACTCATTAGTTCCTGAAAATCAATCTTATTTAGTAAGAATTACATGATTTTTACTTGTTTAAGGATAATTGAGACAGATTTTTTGCTTAAACATCAATACAGTGTTGATCCACTTAACGTAAAATTCAAAAGACCTATCCATCGTCATTTGTTGGCTCCTTGAAAAAATAAAACATTCTGGCTATCTAATTTTAAATATTCACCAGATTGTACCCCATAAGTATAAACGAAATCGGTTTGTTATCTGAATCATTTAAGTACGTCAGAATGATTTTATAATGTTCTCTCTATGTATTTAGTGTGTTTTTGCTTGGCGCTCAATATTTTTACTTTATGAAGAATTATGTGCTTCAGGTACTGATCCTATTCCGATGGAGTTTTTTGTGGAATTCGATAGAATGGTTGGTCCACGTTTAACTTTGTTAGCCGAGCGTTTAGCATCAAATCAGACTTGTTCATTTATGGATGGTAGGTAAGTCAAATATAACTGTAATTATCGTGGATGATACAGTACATTATCCTAAAGTTAAAGTGAAGTTCCATCTGGTTTTATTGAAAACATACAAGCACTTGCACAAATAAGCGTCAATATAGATATTCGCCACACAAATAGGAAAATGGAAATGTGATAAGCAAAGGACTGAGAGTAATGTAGTCATAGTCAATAAATGAATAAAGAAAACAATAAGACGACGAAAATAGTACAAAACTGAGAGAAATAGTTTAGTTAAAGTAGTGGGCCGACGTGCCTCAAGAAGGTGTAAGGTGTCTGCAGAAACCCAGTGCTTATAAGCGGGACGTTTCACAAACCAACAAGAAACGTAACCCACCATTTCCATGGTGTCAAGCAAACGCATCTATCTCTCATCTATACTTTTCCACGGGTTGATAGCTAGCTTACAATATAATTCGACTCGACATTTAGTTGTAGCAAAAGTTGCAGTGGATTTGCCTGGATCGATCCGTTTAGGAAAATGAAATTTTTGATCATTGATACGTAAGATAAGATTATCGCTAACCAAACCATGATTGAAGTTCAGATAGGAACTCTAAAAGGAACGATTATTATTATTTTAACACATAGATATCGGTACAAGAAAGCACCAAATACATATGCGCCACACAGATCTCATTTGATATGTGTGAGGGCCGTGATACTGCCTGGGTGCCCAAACCGAAGCAGGTGGTTTTCTTAGGGGCCACACCCCGAGCCTTTGACCTGAAGATCTGATCCACAAGGCAGTGGAGCATCGTGAGGAGATGCAGTCCCATGGTAGCCGGTGACCAACGATTGGTTCATACGCCATTTGTTCCCGCAGGATACTGGAGCCCATGTGCACCATTGATTTGGGGTCCGGTTAAAGCTCCGGACATTCGCTTTTCGTCCTCTCATTTTCGTAAACAACACCCCCGCCACGACAAGGCAGTGAGTAGGACTTCCCTGGCAGGGGCTGTATACGCGTGGCCATGTGAGAACATTTCGAGAGGAGGAGCGGACTCCCCCCACTCTCGGCCATACCAGGGCATTTGGGGGTCTGAAAGTCGGAAAAATGAAAATTTCGCAAATGCGATAAAAATGATCTTGGTGGTGCAGTTATAATATTCCGACATCAGACAATGGGTTTTAAGCGTTATTTAAGCCCTAACGCTTCAGGCTGGGCTATTTCGCTTACTACCCTATATATGTGTTGTTTGCAGTATAAGCTATATGGCTGTGTGGAGCTGAAGGTCTCATATGAGGCTGGAGGCTCGCCATTGCTATTGTGGATGGTTTAGCAATGCTTTGGCAAGTTTTGCTGACTGTTCACGAACAAAATTGGTTTGCTGGTTAACTGATTTCATTCATACTGGTGGCTGCTTTTCAGTGTTCTCGAGGGCCATTGTCATTGGGACATTGTCAGGCATGTCGCTATTGCTAACATTAATGAGTTTGACTGTCGTGTAAGCGGAATGGGTCAACTTTGGCCTGTTTTTGCCGTGCATAATTGATCCTCGCGATCATTGATCGGAATAATTACACATGTGATGTGAATGTGTATATGAATGGTGCGAATGGTCCACCAGGGTGCTTGGTACCTGTGTGGTTGCGCCACAGGATTGAACTGTACTATTCAGATTGTAGCGTTATAGCCTATACGGTGTCCGGCTCCCCTGTTAAATGGGCTTGGGCTGTACTGTTTGGGTTGTCGCGTGAAAGTCTGGACGGTGTCTGGTTCTCCTGAAAACCGATGTAAAAGGAACGATAGTCGTGTACATAACTATTCTAGTATTATCTAATCGCTATGTGACCAGTCTGAGTCGAAGTTTGAGTTGGGGATGCAGGACGTCAGTTAGTACACAGGAATAACTGTGACGGGAGTTTGTGCTGGCTGGTAGTTGTTGCTTGTAGGAGACGGTTACTGTTTTTTGACCTGCAGCCCACGAGTCTCCATTGGGCAGCCACCCAATCAACTGTCCTCTGTCTGTAGATGCCCGACCTGCACATTCAAATCTCCGCCTGGCACTACAATATCTGTCGGGCGCGCTTTCGCAAGAAAAATAATTTGGTAGTGGAATTCATACTTTATTGGATCTATACTGCAATGTGTCGGGACATAGGCGAAAATAGAAAAAAGACCGTTTCAAACGCCAGTCCATCCTCATTTTGATTGAGCCTTCCGATCTGACGACACACAAACGACTGTTAATAGGGATATGATCAATTAGTGCTGCCTCTGCCATGTCACTTAATACAACGCCCATGGCAGTTAAATCGGACAAAGATGTCACAAAGTCCTTGTATATGCGCACGTCAACAAGCTTTACGAATCGACAGATGGAGAGAATTTGTAATGCTTCACCAGAGTCTTTAATACTGGTCTCAGAGGTACAACAGATGTCAACACAAAGACTTTCCAATGACAGCCAACCGTATCTGTTGTCCTATCCTTATCAGAATGTGACTGTTGAAGGAGGTCAGTTTGGATGAGATACTTTGATCCATAAAAGGTGTATTAACAATCGCATTCCGTGGAAGTATCCATAAATTCGACTAAACTGTGACATGAGATTGTTTAAATAGGACAGAACCTCCGACATAGACGAGCTACTGGGTGGTTTGACAAATAAAGAATACACAAAGAGAAAATAAAGGAAAACTGAGAAGTGACAGTGTAAATTAAAAATGAGTGTGACGAAATAATAATCAATACTACTTGCATGAATAACAAAGCGAAACGTGAAAATTTTTCCGACGGTAATTATCATAAAGATTGTGACAGGAGGTGGGGGCTTCAGCAATTGTTATGAGTGGAATAGTGATTGACAATAGTGAATAGAATAAGTTAAGAAACCAATAAAATATTTATATACTTATTGCCTTAACTTCCAAAACAGTGTCACAATTTGAATACTAAGTATGATCACTATAATTCCAATAGTGTACTACAACGATTTGTGATACTGATATAATTTATATATTAGATATTTAACACATCAGCATATCCCTTAACCGAATAACTATTCAAGGGCGTTCATAAAAAGTTCACGACATTCTACTGTACAAGTTACTAAAAAATACAATCTGAGACATCGTGGTGGCTGTCGGTATGCATTGAAATGGATGAACATCATTCAGATATCGATTCCCCAACTGCTAATATCTAACTGGCGGTTACTCATTATTTATCGTCAGGATCGACCAAGAAACAAGGAAAGGAAACTGCTGAGAATTCTACGTTGTACCGAAAATATAATATTTAATTAGGGAATCAATAATATTAATAATAAGTAAATAAATAATCCAACAGGTATGTAGATGTCTGCGAAGAGTATATTTGTATGGATCATTAGTTTATCAACCTAACTCGTCATTAACCTTCAGCACCACAAAGAGAATAAATTGATAAAGGGAAATTATGACATGCAGATAGTGATGTGACAATAGTGGGGGATAGAAATAAGGATATTATTTGAATAATTAACTGCAAATATATAACCAAAGACATGAAATAACGTGATCTTCATGATTCAGAATAAAATGATGGAATGAATGTTTCTATGTTATCGTGACCGTCTTTCAGAAATGTTCCGACCTAACTTGACTTAGTTTCCACTATCCTAGTTTTTTCTAGATGAGGTTTATAATCTCGTTGACCAAAGTAACATCGCCACCTAAAACTACTGCTACACGCAAGATTTTTCCCCGTATTCAGTGGATAAATAATGATGTCTTGTACCTTCAATAATCATAGTGAATAATTGTTTATAAAGCGATAATATTGTCCAATAATTTTTAGCTTTTAAATTAACAGAGGTACATGATCTATGAGGTAATGAAAGAAGTAAAAAATATCTGAAATTCAACAAGTTGAGAATCTCTGTCAATTACAACATCTAATTCATACTACTTTAGAAGTAGTTAGAGTTTGTTTAATATTATATTTTAGGTTCCACATGAGTGGTTTGTTTTGTGTAAATCATCAACATAATATATAAATCATTGATTTGTTTCGTTTAAGCATCTTCCCTTTACACTTGATGGAGAATACAACAGATATTAATTCACATACTCTACCAACACTTGGCAATCTTACAATCAATGAAGAAGGAGTAAGTAATGCAATCGAAGATTTGAATTATGTTGATTCACCGTTATCATCTCTTTATTCAAATCGTTTCATTTATTGGAATTCATCAACTTGCTCTGTTATGACAACTTTACACTTTTACACTGGGTCTGGTAAGCGGCCGATTAAAGGGGTGAAATCAATTCTAGACGCTATGGTGAATCTACGTGAGGAATTTTCTCTGAGGTAATTATTTTATTATTGGTAGAACAAAAACAACCATCTATTTTTAGATTATTTAGAGCATATATATATATATATATATATATATATATATATATATATATATATATATATATATATATATATATATATATAATTATTATTATTATTAAAAACAATATACATTTTCACGTTAAACTGCTTCTGTGACAACAATTAGCTCAAAATAATAATAATATATTCTGAAAATAATAATTACAGAATTCTTGCCAGTTTACAGGCATTGTATTCTTGATATAGATAGTAGAGGACAAATATGTGATATTAGATTGTTTCAAGTGTTCTAGTTCAAAAATTGTCTAGGTAGTACATTTTTCACACGTATCACAGCAATGAAAGGCATCATCCAGGAACTTTTAATTTCTAAGTTGACATCCTGTTGATGCATGAACAGTGCATTTAAGGTCATTTCCTGGACCATAAAAACGGAGACAGAGAGCACGGAATAAAAAAGTCAACAATTACCACGAAAGGTTAGTTAGATCTATCACAATACATATTTCAAGTTATTTTATGATAGACTATTCGTGTTAGATGTTATTCGAATTAGTTACCGTTGCCAGGGTCGGTATTAGTGTAAAGTAACAGCATATAGGGAAGTTTACTTAGTGAGTTCAGTAGTAAAAACGATTAGACATTTAAAGTTTTTATAATTTCACTTGTGGAGTAAGATACACTTACATGTCTAAGAACATTTAATGCATTTTCAGAGGAGAAGTAGGTATCGGTGCGGCGAACAGAGGATGGATGTGATTTTATGACGAATAGATTTTTTTAGATTATTTCAGAATCTGGAAAACTTGCTAGTTAAGTCATTTATATAGAGACCTGGCGAGGTCGTGTTTATGACCTACTGAGAAGTCTCAGGCCGGGAGAAAATATCTGTACATTTCTCTCTGGTTTTTAATCGTTTTTTCAACAGAGATCAGTTCACTTCCTGCTTAATCTTGTATCAACGGTAGAACAAGTAATCAGGATTTGAACTCGGGATTTAATCGTTTTATATTTGTTATTTAAATAGTTTTATCTGGTTACTTATTAAAGCTTGGGTACAAATGCATTACTTATAGTATGCTTAATCTTCAAACGTTTTGACAGACCTAATTCATGGCATGAAGAAATCGCTGTTAGGCTAGATTCACACTGTTGGATTGTCTGTAGGCGATCTAATGGGCGTGAATTATACATGGTATTCACAATTAAACAAGAAAGTTTACATAAATTAGCGGGTATGTTTTAAATTCGATATAATCATTTAAATTTTGAAACAAGTGATTTAGGAAAGTATTTATGAAGCGAAGTAAATCGCAAATTTAAATAAAGCAAGAATAACTATTGATGCAGAATAGTATGAATTCATAATATTCCGAGGTTTCTCGTCAGCTGCTTACAACCAAATATGTGATAAGCTTTTTACATTGAGATAGTGTAAAACAATTGGCATAAATGAATGTACATGATTAGAATGACAAAGATTTACAATAATAACTATATATATATATATATATATATATATATATATATATATATATATATATATATATATATATATATATATATATATATATATATATATGCTAGAACAGGTCAGAGGTTAATTGGTGTTAGAATTAAGGAGACAATTAAAGATGGGAGATGTAATAGTTGAATGGAGTTTATAAATTGTGTGATAATTATTTTAGAGGTATTAGAACAGTGATAAGATAGGTTACGTAATGATTGAATAAAATTTGAACAGGTAAGATAATCTAATAGTATCAGTGAGGCGGAAATATGTGGATAAAAATTGGTTTAAGAATTAAGTTATGAGGGGGGGTGAGGAGGATAACACAAAATAAATTTTTTTTAAAATAAATAAGTGAATCAAATAACACACACACACAAAAATGGATTACCAGGGTAATAATAACTTAATTAGTGTCTCTTTTTGAATGTATAAATCCGGTTTAAGTTTTTTTATTGCAATCGCTTCCGCAAAGCGCTCGCAAAATTTGTTCAAAGGAATGCCTGGATGATGAAATTACTCTCATCACTAATGTTCTACGAGAAAATACATACCCGTTGAAATTTATTCACAAACATGCAAAAACCAACCCTCAAACAAAGTACGATAGAGTTGAAAAGAAACCTTGCTTCTTATATCTACGTTTCAAAGGAGACGAAATTGCTGGCTTAATTAATCACAGACTAAATTCAGCGTTGAAAGTTGCCTACTCAGAAGCAAAACTAACAACAGTATGGAAAACGAATTGCTCACTTAAACAAACTATAATCGACAAGTCCTCTTTTTTTAGTTGCTCCAACTGCATTTACCAATTCACATGTACATGCCAAAGCACATACATTGGAAGAATTGAGAGAAGAGTTCATGTTCGCATTTCGGAGCATATTCCAAAGAACTTGAGGCTGCGAGGGACTAAGGCTATTAACAGTGCAATAGCTCGGCATTTACTTGACACCGGGCATACCATAGATATTTCGCACGCTTTTAAAATTATCAACAGACAAAGAAGAACTACTACTCTCCGCTTTGCGGAAGCGATTGCAATAAAAAAACTTAAACCGGATTTATACATTCAAAAAGAGACACTAATTAAGTTATTATTACCCTGGTAATCCATTTTTGTGTGTGTGTGTTATTTGATTCACTTATTTATTTTAAAAAAAATTTATTTTGTGTTATCCTCCTCACCCCCCCTCATAACTTAATTCTTAAACCAATTTTTATCCACATATTTCCGCCTCACTGATACTGTTAGATTATCTTAACTGTTCAAATTTTATTCAATCATTACGTAACCTATCTTATCACTGTTCTAATACCTCTAAAATAATTATCACACAATTTATAAACTCCATTCAACTATTACATCTCCCATCTTTAATTGTCTCCTTAATTCTAACACCAATTAACCTCTGACCTGTTCTAGCATATATATATATATAGTTATTATTGTAAATCTTTGTCATTCTAATCATGTACATTCATTTATGCCAATTGTTTTACACTATCTCAATGTAAAAAGCTTATCACATATTTGGTTGTAAGCAGCTGACGAGAAACCTCGGAATATTATGAATTCATACTATTCTGCATCAATAGTTATTCTTGCTTTATTTAAATTCATAAAGGGAACTAACTGCAATAAATCGCAAATGTTGATAATTGTACATTTTCTTGTTATTTTTTAGTCAGATAGACAAGAAGCATAATCCAACTTATCACGTGAAGTCGTTTATCCATTGAGATAACTCAATGTCGTTTTCAGAGAAAAGGAATTTTTACGTAAACCCACCTCACTAAAATTGTGTTAAATTTGTTCAATAGAAATCAATAAGTGATAATAATATATTTCAATACGTCATATGATTGTGTTAAATATACAAAGTTAAATGTGATGATTAAAATAATTTTACATCATTCAATGAACGACTGTTTTAAGTAGAAAGATAATATGCTAGTTTCCAAGTCAGATTATTGTTCGAATCCGATTGACTTAACACTGAAAAAAATACGGTTGTATCCTCAATATTGCCCATAAATGTATATATACGCAGTTGTTATTTCTGAAAAAAATGTAATTTTTTCTGCATTTTCTCTTAGTCTCTATGTACTTGTGAAAAATGTATATAGATGATTCACATGTATCCTTAATTATTCACTTGGTCAAAAACAGAGAGATATAATTCTTCAGATTCTTGCGTTTCAAGGCATTTGGCCAGTGGTCTTTTTCCCGGCACTTTAACTAAAATCGGCTGAAATTTTTTAAACTTCATTTAAGGAATTTAAATTGCGTGTGAAACATCAATAAGCTAATCAAATTGTTAAAGAATAAATTTATGCATTGGGTTTCGGTCAACTCGGGCGATATTACAGAGTCCGTAAATATTCGTTTTATCTTAAGGAAAAACAGTTCTTGATTTTATAGACTTATGCTATGCTCATTTCTGTGTATCTGTATTTTTTGAACTTTATTAAATAGTTTACCGATATATCATAACTACCGTTAATGTTCTATTAAGCGCCAAATATTTGTTTAATTTTATTATTTATTACATTTTTAAAGAAGCTATACGACATGTGTATGAGACAACGTTTCGAGGTTTATTTCTATTGGACTGAAGGTTATCGGATTACAACGTTCTTACTGTCTATTATGCATTGATTCAAACGCTGTTTGGAGTCATCATGCTTGAATTGTGTTTTATTGCATCAAATTGATGGGCACCGGCCATGTGCTTGTTGTGTAAATGTTTTTCTGACATTTGTATCTAAATAATTACTTGTATAGTATTTATTTCACCTCAACTTGTTCTCTGATTTATATATAATATGTATATGCATATAATGTCATCAGCAAAATAAATTATACTACTGGTTTCAAGAATATTACGTTGTTTTCATTTTGTCCAAAAATAATTCAGTCGACGGCTAGTGTTATTATTATTATTATTACTAAATATCCCTTTGTCGTACTATTATTCGAGTAATATTTTAATTACGCTTGTTAATTTATCCGTACATCACCATAAGCTCAAGCCTGATAAACATGGGCATTCAAAAGACTGTCGATGTTTATATCAGTCTCATGACGGAACATATATCTGTCTTGTTTTCCGGTCTGTATTATCAGTATCTAATTTCAGTTTCATCAGTGTAAAAAAGTCACTTTCTGAATATACATAATGATAACTTTTGCATAACACAAATCAGATACAGTTGGGACAATAGAATTGGTTGTACCATTTTACCTACTGGCTTATAACTTATACGCACGAAAGAAAGGATAAAAGACTATTGCTTTAATCTTGTAAGGAGTTGAATATATATTGTATCAAAAATCTTTTATTTAAGACGGCTAAGTTATTCACTCATGGGTGAACTAAATTTCATTTTAGAGTGGGTGAAATTGTGATCATATTCTTAAATTCATGTACTGTTAGCACTACTCATATTTTAAAACGAAATATCACACAACTAGATTATCAGTTGAAGTAGAGTTGTAAAAAATTGGTAAGTTGGTTTTCTGTCGAAAATGAAAATGTCTTATATTTGACATAAAAATACTTACGAAAAGGTTAGTTATTTGTTCATCTACCTGACTTCAGTTACTAAGTATCTTATTAACTGAACAAAGTAGCATTCAAATCGGGTAGTAGTACCTAAGTTTTTAAGCATCTAGCCACTGGCAGTTCCATATGAAAGTAATGACTTTTTGGTAAACTTTGCTTTGGTTAACCACTATCCTGTTCAAATAATCTGTATTTGATTCATAGTTCTTACTCTATGGACTATAAAATAATATATATAAGGCATCCCAGCTATTAGACACATATCTGTATAAATTAACCGATTGCTTAAACCTTCCAGTATTTCAAGTCAAATTTTACAAACTGAGTCAATTATCAACACCACTTGTTTCGATAAAATAATTCGTACACTGATTATGTATATGGACGAAACTAGCTTAGGTGTTATGACGCATTGATCGGATGCTTAAATACATATAATATGAAACCCCGAAATTCTGCGTATCTGAAGTTATTGAAATATTTATAGAAAAGGATCTTTTTATGACTGCTACTACTACTGATTACTGATTTAGTGAGGTCCTTGAGGATTCTTTATAAAATAATCATTCAAATGATATGTTATTCGCTCTTTTTGTTCAGTATTAAAGACAAAGGGTTTGAATTTACTGATCATTAAAATCACTGTGTAAGCTTGGATTTAAAAACGTGCATATTCAGAGTTAATGATACAGTTGACCACTACCGAGCACATTTAGATTTAGATTACGAGTTTCCTAAAAATTGTCCCCGTTAAGAATTAATACTTTGATTTCTATTTGGTTGGTCGCATGTCTCGATTGACAGAATCCAGTCAGTACTGGAAACCACTAGATTTGGTTGACCATTTATATTTCTTAACTGTTATCTTGTTACATTTACGAGGATTTAGTAATTTGCGACTTCTTCCTAGACTTTTGGAAAGCGTACGTACTTAACCTTTTTTACAAATCCTTCAATTTAGTTTTCCCACTCTACTTTAATGACTTTGGGATTGGATTTTTCGACATCTTAGTGAAAAGTTTTAGCACACACAGATCTTCCTATAAATGTCAATCCACCAACGACAGAAGAAATCAGAATGGCCGTCAGACAAATCAAGAGCGGGAAAGCAGCAGGACCTGACAATATACCAGCTGAAGCGTTGAAGTCAGACATCGAAGTAACTACAAGCATGCTTCATCTTCTATTCAAGAAGATTTGGGAGGAGGAACAAGTGCCGATGGATTGGAAAGAAGGACACCTCATCAAGATTCCAAAGAAAGGAGATCTGAGCAAGTGTGAAAACTACAGAGGCATTACACTACTGTCAATACCGGGTAAAGTCTTCAACAGAGTGTTACTGAACAGGATGAAAGACGCAGTTGACGCTCAACTTCGAGATCAACAAGCTGGATTCCGTAAGGACCGGTCGTGCACAGACCAGATTGCGACACTACGGATCATCGTCGAACAATCAATTGAGTGGAACTCGTCACTCTACATCAACTTCATTGATTATGAGAAGGCATTTGACAGTGTAGATAGGAGGACGTTATGGAAACTTCTTCGACACTACGGAGTTCCTGAGAAGATTGTCAACATTATCCGGAACTCATACGACGGACTACAGTGCAAAGTAGTGCATGGAGGACAGCTGACAGACGCATTCCAAGTAAGGACCGGAGTCAGACATGGCTGTCTACTCTCTCCCCTTCTCTTTCTTCTGGTGGTCGACTGGATTATGAAGACCTCAACATCTGAGGGAAAACACGAAATCCAATGGGCAGCTCAGAACCAATTAGACGATTTGGACTTCGCAGATGACCTAGCCCTCCTATGCCATACACACGAACAAATGCAGATGAAGACAGCCAGCATAGCAGCAGTCTCTGCATCAGTAGGCCTCAACATACACAAAGGGAAAACCAAGGTCCACAAATATAGCACGGAGAATAGCAATCCAATCACTCTTGATGGCGAAACTCTGGAAGACGTGGAATCCTTCACATACCTGGGAAGCATCGTCGATAAACAAGGAGGTTCAGATGCAGCCGTCAAGGCGAGGATTGGCAAAGCTAGGGCGGCATTCCTTCAACTGAAGAACATATGGAACTCAAAACAACTTTCAACCAATATCAAAGTCAGAATCTTCAATACGAACGTCAAGGCAGTTCTACTGTACGGAGCTGAAACTTGGAGAACTACAACAACCACCATCAAGAAGGTACAGGTATTTATTAATAGCTGTCTACGCATGATACTCAACATCCATTGGCCGGATACCATCAGCAACAGCCTTTTGTGGGAGATAACCAACCAGCTTCCAGCTGAAGAGGAAATTAGGAAAAGACGATGGAAATGGATAGGACATACATTGAGGAAATCATCAAACTGCATTACGAGACAAGCGCTAACTTGGAATCCTGAAGGGAAGCGGAAAAGAGGAAGACCAAAGAACACATTACGTCGGGAAATAGAAGCAGATATGAAAAAGATGAATAAGAACTGGAAAGAGCTTGAAAGGATTGCCCAGGACAGGGTTGGATGGAGAATGCTGGTGAGCGGCCTATGCTCCTTCACGAGGAGTAACAGGCGTAAGTAAGTAAGTAAGTAGTGAAAAGTTTTCTATCCATCAAATGAATCAAGCTAAGAGGTAGATTCATCTATGAGACCGGTTGATGATCGTGTCATACTGTAAACTTTAAAGTTAGGCTTCCGGAGGCACTTTAGGTGTGAGGAATGGTGATACTATCTGATTGCTCAAACCAAAGTAGGTGTAGTATAATTGGAAGCTGAGACTTAGTGACTGAAATTCAAACGCCTTAACTACTCGGCCTCCGCTTTACCTATCCTTTACAGAAAGAGACGAAGTATTTTAATTTATTACTAGAAGATAAAAACTGCCATGTTATCGTACTCTTAGTGTTAATTACATATTGTCCTTACAATGAGTCTAATAAAAACTGAAAAATCCGATTTCTTGAATGAGTGGCAAGACCCACCAAGATTAGGTAACGTACGTCTTGCAGAAGTTATTCAACCATTAATACATGAAATTAAACACATGAATCCTTTTTCCAACTTATGGTACCAACTACCTGATGAGGTCTACAACAATTTTATTACTAGAAAAATCAGAGCATTTTTTCAACATTAGCGAGGAAGTGAACAAAATTCCTCAATAAACATCGGTTTTCTATCATCTTATCGAATGTATCGTGTCAGCAGTCCCTATTTATATATCCTTGTGAGATTCAGGCGTTTAGCTGGTACTTTATCGCCCATCCTGTATAAACCTCTTTTTCTCAATTGTTGTGCGATAGCCACATATCTTTGTTTCTCTCATTTGATTAATCCAAAAACAAGAATTTACTTTCGAATGACCAGTAAAGGCTGAAATGAATTTTTATGTTGCACTTGTTTACGTTTCGGAATTTTATGTCTGTTTACTGTATTTGTGGAACATGATATTTTAATTTTTCTAACCATCATCATTGTGATGGTAGGTGTTTGAACATAAGGTATTTTTAACTATTAGATGTCTCCGATATGAGTGAGATTTGCGCAATTTGTCGTTTGAAATTGAATATGTAGTTCGGTGAACTAAAATCTGCTTTAAATTTAAAAAAGATCTCACTAAAATCAAAGTTAGATAAAGAAATTTGTAGTTACTGAATGCAAGCTGATGTCCTCTCGGTTATCAGTCCAGTATCTTACTTAAATTTTGCTTTTGAATATATATTCAGTCACACAGCAGATCTAAAATGCGTTTTTAAACGTATCATATGCAATCAGGTATGAATCCGATGGAAAACGTATATTATATTGTTGAAATGTAAAAAGTTAATGGTTTGAGATTTTGACATATGCCACGACACATTGGGAGCGGTTGCATATGGTTTTTTTAAATGACAGGTTTCTAGCCTACAGCATTTAGGTAGCTGGTACCCATAAACGTCTTAACTTCGGTTTGCTGCATAAACAACTGAAATTATCTACAAAGTGAGAAGTAACTTATTAAAGACATCATTCAACCGATGAAATTCCTGTTAGTTTTGAAAATCACTTTTC